TTTACAGATAAGTCTAGACCAAGCACTATATACCAAGTGGCTATGATGGAAGTGATGTTGAAGAAAGCTGACGGATCATGGGCAGGGGGTAACTTTCAGTTTCAGGATCACTGCTTTTGTCTTTCATTAATTTTTACCCTTTATTTTAAAACATAGAAAATGTGGTTGATTGTCATGAACCAAGAACAAAACTTTTCACAATAACCATGAAAGGAAATTCCAAGAGCATTGATATGTAGATTAAATTCAAATCATCATTGAGGAATTTGAGCATCTACCTTCTATTCATCAACTTGAGAAAAATGGGCAACCACGATTCAAACTCAAGAAAAGCAAGAGCAGTATATATATAATTATCTGCGTACCTCTGCATCGTCAATATCAGAGAGGCTTTCTGAGACATCACCATCCGCAGGTGACATTGCGTACCCACAGAGGCCTTCTCTTCTTGCCGCCTCTTCTGTAACTCTACGTTTCTTTTAAAGTTTGTGGAATTTATATCAACTGGAGAGTAATGTCGGCGTAAATTCCTTGATTCTCCGAACCGACCTAATTCGGGTTCTTTCTTTTTCAGAATTGAAATTTGGAACGGTGGAACCCAAAAACTATATTCTTTTGTTCCACTCAAGTCAGTCCATATTTAGTTTTCATTTTTTAAATCAAAAGCACTGAACGAAACCCAGAAGCTAGAGGAATATAAGAGGCCCAACAAATTAGGTTTAATTAAGATTGGCCCAGCAAAACAGAATACGCAGCCCAATCCCCCAATCCAGACCAACAAACACACACAAAAAAGAAAAGATCCGATATATGAAGAAATTGTTCAATGTGACTGTATCACCATGTCGGCATATACTAGTACTACTAGTAATAAAGCATAAAAGAACATCTAAAACATTAATTCATAATGAATTTTTAGCCCAAGTAGTTAAGAGCAGTTATGCATGTACCTAATGTCATGTGTTCGAATCCCTCCTCCCCCAATGAGCAAAATAACATCCAAAACCGGCACAAATTGTGACACGACAACAACACCAGCCCTAAACAAAGACCGGAAACACTAATATACATTTCACTATAGAGGTTTTGTAGCCGAAATTATGGAAATATATTTGTTTACTTCATTTGTTTTTCTTTTTCCCAAAATTTATGGTTCTCTTTAAATCAAGTTATTATGCAAACCGCCCATCAAGGCTTCATTTGGACTAACTTGATTCCCTAAGCACATTTAAAATCTAAAGTGAGAGGTGATGGGGTTTCCATGAATGAGTAGAATATGCATCCAACAACTGCTATTGCATATTCAAATCTCT